CAGTAGGTACACGGGTGAATCAGGGGGATCTTCTGGACATTACTCCTACTCCACCTCTTCGCATATTTAGAAAAAAAAAAAACAAAAAAGCTCTTGAATGCTTGTTCATTGAGACACATATAAAATGATGGTAAACTTAACATAAATATTTTGTTACAAATCATTCATCTATTAGGAGTATTCAAATGGCAATTTTCGATGGTTTACAATCAAATTGTGTCTTTCGATAACAATATTTAACATTCATACTTTACTAAAAATCATCCAAATCTGAAGTCGAGTTGCATAAAGATAACATTGTATACTATCCCTTACATTCAAAGAATATTGTAACCAATGCTTGGTGCACTGTGACAAAATCTCGAGTGGTCTCCAACCTGCTCCGCACAAAAAGTACTAGAACTCTGGAATGATAAATCGCAACAGCAGATACAGCAAAGCTTTATGAGTCTCTTTCGAGTATTCCTAACAATTCTACGCAAGTTGACTTGTACATCCGTATTATACGTAAGAGGTAGACGAAATTAGGAATGAAAGTTGTAATCTCGAAGTCCGCCCACCTGTAAGTTTCAGGAATGGGTGTAGGTGTGTAATGACATGACAAGGCAAAAGGGCTGTAGAAAGTGGGGCTAACTGTCAGCTCCGTATTACTTATCCAATGAGCTCTGTTGGGGGTTGGAAGCTTTTACGTCTGGCACGGGAAGTTGACAAAAACGAGCCCAAGTTTTCGTAAGGCTGTTACACCACATTGGTGCAGGGAATCGCGTGATTATTTTTAAATTACACCTTTGAAGGAAGCTGTGTAATAGTTTGCAAGTAGAAAATAAACAATGTCTTAGGTCTCATGTAATAATTTTTTAAAAACACCGTTTGGTAAAGGCAACGAAGGTCTTTTTGTTAAACTATGGAATTAGATTCTAAGGCAGAAAGCTCATTTGTCATGAGGTTTATATAAAATTTGCATGAAAATTTTCTAACATCCCTGTTAGAAATTGTGTAAGAAGTTTGTGAATAATTTTTACATTAATTTCATCAAATCATCTCATTTGAGCATAATCACATATTAAATCAGGAGAATGAGATTTCATCGGCATCAACACCTTGCTCCTTTTTCGTGAAAATAATAAGACGAGTAAGGAAGTTTAATTCCTTGGTAACTAGTACAAAGTGATATTTAGTAAACAGCTGTACAAAGTAAAATTTTTCTTTTTCCAATAGGATACAAACAGTTTTACCGTGGACTATAAAATAAGGATCATTCGATAATAGTACCATTTCTTTTATATCTATCATGGTATTATTACATCAAGAACATCTGCTTCTAAACATCTACATATACTTCTCCATATTGTAGGGAAAAAATGATTTTTATATTTTCTACTGAATGAATTATTAATAATCAGTAGAAACGATTTTCAAAGCATCAATTCTCGAAACTTATGTATGTGAAGTCAAAATAGACTAAAAGCTTGAAAATAGATTTGCTTTCCTGGACTATCAATAGAAAATAAATGTAAGTCCATCAATTCGAGTATGAATACCGTAGAATTGTACGCCATAAATTCTCTGAAATCCAGAGTCTGATCAAAACTATATAAGTGAATACGTGACTTTCAGCACAACTTTCAGTCTATGCAAACAAGAAGCTAAGGTGAAGCTCATCACGTTCCTTTTAGTGCTTCTCTTTAAGACCTACAGCAAGTATTTTTCTACACTTGATTTGGGGGTGATCACGGTAGTCCATATGTGTGCTCTAGAACCTAAACTTTATCTCCTAGAATTGATCTGGAAAGGTCTAGGCCCTGCATAAGACGTTTTTACATAAAAAAAAAAAAAAAAAAAAAAAAAAAAAAAACAGATTTAACATGGCATACCGTTGTCACATTAAGTGACACGAGGCCAACCGCAAAAGACAAAGACAAAGAACTATTTGTCAAAATTCTTTCAGTTTAAATTGAGTATGTGTATTTGCTTTGTGCGGAAAACAGTACAAATTTTATTTAATCATGTTTTGAGTCTTTTGTCTAGACTGATAAATAATAATCAGCTGCACTATCTTTTAAAATTAGAAAGCATCCTTTGTAACAGAAAAATAAGATAATACAAACTGCGAAAATAGTACCTCCAAACAAAACGATGATAATGTAATGTCAAACTGACCTTTTTACTTTTAGGGCATTGTAATAGAATACTTTATCAATGGCAGAATATTTAGTGTTCCAAGTTAACTATAACTTATGATTGCTTTTTCAACAGTTACCAAGCAAGTGTGCAATGCGTACTCAACAAACTCTAGTTATCGTAAATTCCACAGTTCCTTTAGAGATGAAAGACGTCATATTCAAATATTGACATTCAATTTAACCAACTGTGCTTGTAATAGTTGATTAATATGTGGCTGGACTTACGAAATTGAAATTGTTAACACAATACTTTAAAAAATGATTCGTACGAGAAACACACCGGAATTTTCTTAGATTTCTTTATCACCTAGAAGAATTTGGGTAATTACGCTTACAAACTGATTATATTATCATTATGATACAATAAAATATCCGTACAAAAAAGCAACTGTTAAAATTTTATCTCATACTTTAGTTTACTGAAGTAAAACTCGATGTAAATGTATAGGTCGTACTAATATAACACAAAACGGCAAAACGATCATTGCTGCAAGAGAAAGGCTAGCAATGCTACATCACTATTACTAATTTTATAGCTGCCAACAATAGTTTGTAATACTTGAAGGTTAAGTAGCTACATTTCAACACTAGGCTTGGAATACTTTCAAACAGTATGGGGATTAATGTTACTTAATACGGCAAGTGAACACTGATTAAAATTAATAACTGGTCTCCTTTAGCCCAATGCATGTACTAAAATGAATATAAATGGTGAATTCACCACACTTTACCACACTTTACACTAATACGACGTGTGTGTGCAAGTGTTGGGTCCCCGTATATTTTTTTTTAAATTGGCACAGATTGATTTTTTTGTGTGTTAAATTAAATAAAGGTCCAAAAATAATCCATCAGAGATGTAATTTCTTCTTATGCGTTTTGATAAACGAAGTGTTAAACGTCACGATAAAATTTACCCTAGACTAAAGCCACACACCAACCTTTCAGTCCATTATGTAAGTATCGTAATCATTGAAATCTTGACGTTTATCAACAATTATAAGTATGAATAAATTTCTTTAAATAACTGATGAATGATTTTTAATATTTTACTTATCCTAGTGGGCAACTAATTTAGTCATTAAATTAATTATTATGAAACCTTACAGTAATGTTTAACATTGTTAACTTGTATTGATAAACTATATATAATAAAGCAGCTACGTACATTTTGAATTTCACGCGGAAAATCCAATATTACGTTTAGCACTGAAAAGTATGTAAAAGTAGTTCTATAACTGCATGTTCATCTATAACTGCAAGATGGAGAGCCTTTAAAAAATTTTAATTCACAAGTAAAAAAACAAACTCAAGGTTACAAAAGCTAAGAATCGCCGTCAAATGTTTGTCATTGGAGGGGACAGTAATCCCCTCCTGTAGCAAATGATGACCATGAGGGACTATAATCTCGTGATTATTTGTCCTTCCTGGCAGTAGAGTCATCTACTTGCCAGTAAACTCTCTGATGCTCGGAGGTGTGATGTGGTGTTGTGGGTGCCCTCCAATGACCAATAGGTGTCCCTTAAGGTAAAGGGCCCATTTTTAAGATAACAAAAAAAAATTTTTCCTAACGAATTTAGGGCAACTGACGTCTCACAGCCACAATAATGCTGCTATCATTATTTTTAAATAAGGTAAGCATCCCAATTTAACAAAGACTTTTAAGGGCATGTTGCTTAATAATTAATATAACATTATTTTTTATGTCTAGATAAAAGAAGAAATTTTTTTTAGATACTTGTATATATAAGGAATAAAAATCGACCATTACACTGCTAAAGATTTAGTAAGAATAAATAATATTTAATAAAAAAGAGACCACATAAAGATGTCCATAGTTAACGAACACTGAGCTTTGACATTCTATTAGTTCCAACGACGTGACTTAATTTAACGAAAGCAAAAATTTATGATTTAATGCGTTTTCTTTGTATATTTACAAAAACTACTTAACAAAAATTACATTGGAATTAAAATTACTTTAAGAAATAACAAAAGCATTGTCCAAGCAAAAAATTTTAATATAAATGAATGAATAAGTTCATAACCTCAGATAAAAATGTTGAAGGTAGTAAATTTTAATAAATACGACAAGAACTTTTACCTACTCGTCAGATGATAAATCTGATTCTGATGAAAAATATAATTAATATTTTCCTAATCCTATTGAAGGCTCTAGATTTGCAAATATGTCTCTTAAACAGCTAACTATGCCAGCCAATCCATATATCATCATCAATAATCACAGCTACATCAAGTATGAAATAAGATGTAGACTGTCGAAAGAGATGAATTTAATAGAAGTTGACTATGAATCTTTGGAAAAAATTGAGGAAGCTACTGGAGGTCAGACTGTAAATAGCACATGGCACAACTTGATAAGGTATAGAATAACAGCCAGTAGGTTTTATAAGTGTTGCAAAGATTTAACTGATAAACAAGACACTACTCTGGCTAAATCAATCCTATATCCTGTCAAATTCACATAAAACAAACCATACATCGTAGTGTTCCAAAAAAAACAGCATTTAAAAAAATTATGTTACAAAATAAACTACCAGTGGTTGAATGTGGGTTATATGTAATGAAAGAATATTCTTTTATTGGGATTAGTCCTGATGGTCTGCTGGGAGAAACAACAGTGATTAATATAAAGTGTCCCTATTCAGCAAGGTACTAAGCTATTTCAGAGGATACAGTACCTTTTTTATATAAAACAGTTGCAAGATATTATTGTTGGAAAAAGGATCACTAGTACAACTGTTAGATACAAGAACAAATGATGGTAACAGGAAAATTGTTTTGTGATTTCTTAATTCATACCTTTAGAAGTTTGGATTGCATATCTATTCCCAGAAATAATGAATTTATTAAAAGAATTCTACAAATGTTAATCAATTTTTACAATAAATTTTTGGAGCTAGAAATTTTGGATGAATACATTTATAGAGGGTATGAAACTATTTTCTAGCAAATTTATGAAATCTTCATTCATGTTACAATGTTTCTATTTTATTTCATTAGTTGATAAATAATAAAGGTTGATTAAGTACAAGTTGCATTTAAGCTAAAATATTTATTCAATTATTTTTCATAATACAATCTTTAAAATAACACAACATAAAGCACACTTTTGTTATTTCTGTAGTAAAAGAAAGATATCTAGAATCAACTTTAGTGTACAAAATTTTATAAGTCTTCAACAAACCTATTATCCGCTCGATGTGAGCTCTGTAACGAGACAGTTTACGATTCCTTAATAGAACTTTAAGAGGCAAGTACCCTTTGCCTTTGGTAAAATGAGATGTGGCTACAGTAATATTGTAAGGAGCAAATATATCTTGTACGGAAAATCCACGGTCTGCCGTGATAACATCTCCTGGTTCACACTGTTGTTGAACAACTTGACGATCACTAGTAGAACCTTCGTAGAAGTCACTACAGTAGCATAGCAGTCCTCCAGGTGTGCTTCCCAACACTGTTTTAACAGTTGTGTCGTTATAATAACTAAAAGTAGACTGCCTCTTTACGTCAATTTCAGTTCCGTTAATTATTACGTTTGTTAGTGGAAAATCTTTTTCAAAGTTTTCAGGCATGTAATACTGAACTAACTGCTCACTTAACCAAAAAATAATTGTCGACCACTGACATGCCATGAAATTTATCCACGATTTGAAAATATTTCCAACTGCTTCCTTAGAAATATTGAAATACATACCAAGTTCCCTGTTAGTGCAATTTTTCTTTAGTTTCCATAGAGTCAAAAATAATTGATTTTCCTTGGATAATCCTCCATTTGAACGATTACTCCCATAATTTACGTGATTTACTTCTTCACCTAGACTATCAAAAACAAGTTTGAATTTACTATAACATTCCAACCCAGTGAATTCCAGAATGACTGTTGGTTCATCTTTCAACTCTTCTATATTAAAGCGTGGTTTTCTTTTGATATTTTTATCAAATTTTGTTTCTACTGTCTCTTTTGCAGAATGGTCGTGTTTATTTGCCTTTCCTTTTCCACTATCACTTGGTAATGAACCTTTTTCCAACAGATCACCAAAGGAATGGAATTCTGAATTAGTTTCATTATTGACAAAATTTGAATTTTTACTCCAAGAAAACACTGACGGAACAACTCCTTGGCGTAATCGAATCCTTTGAGCTGAATTATCTAAAAAAAAAAAAAAACTGATTACATTATTTTTTCGTCCAGTATCTGTCACATCAGATTTATTCATTGTACATTATCTATCAAAAGTAGAGTGTACAAAAAATATTTAAAAAATCAAGATTTACCAAAACATGATGCATCAGTTAGATCAGTTCTTCTAAAGTGCTCTATGCATAATCCATTGTAGCTTTTTGGTAGGAAGTCTGGTCTTTTTATTGCTTGTAACCATTTGTTTCTCATCAACTGATCTTTCGGAAACTTAAACCAAATCGGATTACTGCATTCATTAACAGAACAACTCATTTTTGCGTTTCGTTAGCAGTCAATCAGCTGTAGTACAAACTAAACGTATCTGGATATGTAAGCCGCCATTATCTCTTAGGTACGGTCACACCATCTGGCGGATGAGCTTTTGCGATGTACCCTCACAGAAGCCTTTAAGGACTTAATACAGCCTTTACATAAATGCACTACGCAAGAAGGTATTGATTAAAAAAAGGAAAAAAAACACGCGCGCACGTATACACACACATACACACACTTATTTCTCTCTCTCTCTCTCTCTCTCTCTCTCTCTCTATCATAAATATATGTGTACAGGTACGATCATAAGCCTTATATGACTACGTTGAGCAGCCTCGACTGAGTCGAGTCGATCATATACGTCATGTAAACAATGACGTGACAGTCATCATTAAGTCTAAAGATGCTCAACACAATACCTTTATATTTATATCTTAGACGCCATGATGGCTCTTCTATACAGCAACGCTGCAGGCGGCAGAGCTTGAGGCCAAACATTATCATTCAGTTCTCACTTCTGCAGGCTAGCGCTGCGCTGTAAGTACCGCGCATGGCGCTCTCTCACTCGTGCGCCGTCGGCTCTGCTCGTCGAGCACGATCGGATACATCGGCCTTGCAGTAGGTATATATACCTTTGTATAGCGTGACGTAAAATTGGCTTTAAAATGAAAATTTTTCACTCCCCATCAGGTTGGAAAGTCGAGGCCCCTTGTACGATGTTTTCACTTAAAAAAAAAAACATTAAAATAAAAAAAAAATTGTTTCTCATATGCTTTGGCTACTAGATTAACCTAAACTCTGCATGAGAGAAATCTTTAGTCAACTTGTGTATTGCATGCTCTAATCATATTCCATTCGAAATCGTATTTAAGTTGCGATACGCAGATGGGGCTTAGGTTACAGTTAGGTTATTTAGGCCAGCCGATCAGGTACAGGGCACGGCTATAGGGGAAACTGACTCAGCCAATCAGTGAAGAGGAAAAAGTGACGCATGAGTAGTTCAATCTTCACTCTTTCTCTGTCTCTAATGCTGTTACGTTTCTACAGCTGGCCTTCATACTCTATTGTATGTTATTTATGTGCCAGCGAGCAAAGGCCAGAACAAGAGACAAACATCCGCCCAGATAGCGTTGCACCGACCAAGCACACAGCCACTGAATTCCCCAAAGAGCCTTTAGCACGATATAGTATTTCCCCTTGGCTGGGCTTCCTTTTACTCATTAAACGGACTAATGGCGAGAATCAGCGATTCGTTAGCTGCGTCCACTAATTTGCGGCTTGTTTGACGAATCTTGAGATGATTGTTAATTAATGCTTGGAAATGAGACGACGTCCTTTCCGGTGCCGGATGATGAGACTAAGAGCGAACAGTGGCCTCAAAGAGCCTCGTGCGAAATTAAATCCACACTTTATGTGTCTGTGTGGCAGCTACTGAAATTAGATAAATAGCCCCACGTGACGATGATGCATGCACTTTAGCTCCAAGTGTCTTCAATCGGCTTTCGGAAAACTAGGTGCTTTCCTTTCCAAGGGGCTGGGGCTTGTTGATTTGATGTTTGTTGGGTTAAGGAGATCTTCTTTGGAGGTCTTTTAGCTCTACGGTAATAAGGCGTGCTTTTACCGGTAAGATTTGGCTTTAAGGACCCAAGAGCTAAGTATGTTGTTGCATGCTCTGCATGTGTCAACATGACACGGTTTACATTTTGTTGGTGCAGCTGAAGCACTGGCTTTTGAAGCTATACAAACAGTTGAATTTTGTAATTTACGAGGGCCATGTGCATACAAATGGGTAATATTTGTAGGGACAAGGTCAGCTTGAAGTGGTTGAAAAGTTGTGGCTTAGGGGAATTTGGGGTAGTACGGGCAAAGGAATTCTTGATCATGTTCTTTTTGAGTTAAACACCAATACAGCTTTTTAAAGTGGATATACATAAATATTAAATGTTGTATTAGATTTATAAGTAAAACAAAAAAAATCTTATAATATTAATAATATACTCACGTAATATCGGGTTGATGTGGGTTTCCTATTTTCATTTAATAGTAAAGAGCTTGGAGTGACATGGGTTTTCTATTTTTGGGTGGTACAGGTTCGGTATTTCTTTTTTTTTTAATATAATAAATATAATGACTTTTCTTTTTGTATTTTTAGCAGTGCATTGAAATAAATTGTAAAAGAGTTTCTAATTTTTGGAACTGTTTGACTTAAAAAAATATTTTTCTAGGTTTTCCAACGCCAAGATAGTTTTGATTGCAATTTCGAACAATAGAGATATATTAATTTCATTCGGGATGATACTCAAGAAGTTGAGTTTTTTAATTGAAAAAAGATTGCTTGAATACATCAATAGTCATTGTTAATGTAAAGTTGTTATTCTGTAAATATATGTATAATTATCATCATTTTCTAGTCAATCTGTACATAAACAGTAACAGTATTTACATATTGAGAAGTTTGTGTGACGTTTTTCATAAAAAACAGACCTAATTTTTATGTAAACTTTTTGTCAAGGAGTTTTTTTATACAATCGTATTCATAGAAGGTCTTCTTTTCACTTTAAAAGGTGACTTTTTTTTCATTTTCTGTGTAAATGTAACAGTATGTAGTTGACTTTATTAGTCTATTCAGAGGCTTTTTTTGTGATGTTGTTTACACATAGTTAAAACAAATTTGTTAAAAAAGAAAGGCACATTGACTGTGCTTTGTTAGAGTCTTTCGGTCAACCAAAACAATCATTGTTTTTGTCTCTATTTTCAAGGAAGTTGTAACAAGCACGGAGAGTTTTTTGTTGTTTAAAAAATAGCGCTTCAAGCGAGATCAAAGTTTTTTTGAAAGTCGATGAATCTAAACTTAAAATGCTCGTTGGGTATGAAACTATTTGTATTACAGGAGTTTTTGATTTCGTCGTTAAAAAGTGCATCAAAAATCTTACAAACAAGACAAATTGCGTAAACAAATTAACGATAACTCGTTATAAACATCCCATCTAACTTGTTGCCGAAGCAATCAACGCAAAAGCACAGACAAGGCGCGATAATCAATCACTGAGCAACGGCAGCAAAGTCTCCGTATCGAAAGGTGCATTACCTTCCGATGGAGTCGACTCGCTGGAACAGAAACGCGCCTGGGTAAATAAGATCCAGCGGCGCAGATCTTCACGCTTTGCGTGCACTGGGGAGGGCTGATACAGATGGATCCCTCGCGTGACGGTGTTGGGCTTTTCCTGGAATCTAATTAACAAGTTGGATTGGATCGCCCTGAAGCGGAAGAGGAAATCGCGACGCTACGAAAATGCTGCGATTTTTTTCTCTTCCTTTTTTTTTATTCGCCACCCTGACGATATCTCTCGACAAATTTTTCAACTTCCCTCGTGGCAAACATTTTTTTTAAATTACACGTCCTTGGAACTCATTGCACGCCCAGAGTTATCGTTAAAGAAGATCGACTGAGGGCCAACACTTCACACGCTTCGTTTTTAATCGTTTTGAGAATTCCTCCACCTCGCAGTACACCTCTGTTCCTCCCAACTTGCACGTGTTTTTTTTTTTTCATCTTCGACTCGTCGGCGGGACAGAGAGCTTTTTCATTATTGAGACGGACCTGAAGGCAGGACTTTTGAAAACATGTGGCCGATCGCGATGGGACCTCGAAGAATCCCCGAGATCCAGGTAACCCGGACGGAGATAGAGCCGACGTCCTGTTTTGTATATTATCGCGATCGAGCGTCGAACGAGTCAGCCAGAAATGCACGTATTACGCGTACTCGGATTATAAATTGCTTACGTATATATAGGCTGGCTTAAACGCTTTTACGTACGAAAAGACTTGCTCGATGCTGGGCTTTTATTGTTGGGATACCGTGTCACGAAAAAAATTTTTTTTTCCGTATTTTCTTCGTAGAATATGATTTTTAATGGTAAGCGTATCTATGGTTATCTCGAAAGTGTGACAATTATATTTCATTCATATCAACAATGTAGAAATAAGAAGGATACAAAATGTGAGATTAAATCTTTGTGTAAATATAACAGTCGTTGAAACGTTACTTTTTTAAGGCAACAATTTCGTACAAGATACCTGAAAAACTCTTATGTGCGTGAGTCCTACAGAAGATTTTTGATTATAGTTGAAAACACGGCCACACACGTGTTAGTAATTTTAAGTAATACTTTTTTTGTGTTGACACAAAACAATGGGTTTCAAGTAAATTTCAAAATTTTATGAACAACATTTTGTAACACTGTTATTAAATTTCTTATAGAGTATTTCAACTCTCCTGTTAAGGCGTTGTCATAAAGGCAGTATGATAGAAAATAGGTGATACTTTTACCTCTACCGAACATAATCATACCGTTTTTTGTGTTGAATATTTTCTATGTAACACACACACAAAAAGTACGTAATCATAGTTCTCGCAAAATATTCCGCCATAAATCTTTAACAAATTCTTACAAAATTTCCCACGAGTATCCATAAAGGGCATAACTAAAGACTCATTGATTTGTTACAAAATATAGTGAATCTTCATCAATAGCTAAGCCCCATTAGAAGTAACTGTAAAAATCTACAAATATCCTTATAGTTATGAAAAAACCATTTTCAAAGCTAATATGCTGTCGAAACAATACAATCATACCACACAGCAGTCCTACATGGACCAATTCAAATTTTCTCGATGTCCCTTCGTTTAGCGCTTTCATCTTCACGGGAGTGCCGGACAACCAAGGAAACCCAGCTTCCAGCCAGCTTCGAGCAGTAGCCGCGGTTATAGACATTATTTACGAGGCCCCAAATCACATTACGGCCACTACGTGTCGCCGGCTATAATAGAGGTATACGACCGGTCCGAAGAAGACGAAGGTTGTAGGCGATACTGCCCGGAGAAGCTGGTGGGATGAAAACCAATTTTCGCTGGACCCCGCGCATAAATCAGATCTTGTTACAGACGGCTGGGCCGAGAACTCGCGACGACCGAAATCGACACTCCCCCCCGACCGTG